GATCAAGACTAGTATTTGAAATATATTACCTGTTCCAAGTTTTGAAGGCATTGCTGGCTCGTTTGAACAGATATCCTTCCATAACAATACCATTTGCAGCATCTACATTATATTCTAACTTAGAATCATCACTTGAGAAATCCTAAACAAAATAAAAAAGTTCATACAATTTGATGACATCCCCTAGATAACAAATTTATCATAGAGAAACAGTACAAATCATAGAAAAGCTTTCTATTCTATTAAGATAGTTATATTAACAGTATTCATAACAAAAGGGGAGACCTAATTATTATAACAACATAAAACACAGATGATTATATAGAATATATTCTGAAAAAGAAAACAATATAAATTGATTTATATACTGATTTATATACACTGACTAAAGGCACAAAATAATATGTATACAAATAGACAAAAGGAACAACTAAATCCTATACATGATGTTATGTTTAAAATGATTTCATTTTAGGGGTGCCTAGGTGGCTCAGTCGGTTGAGCATCCAACTCTGGCTCAGGTCACGATCTCATATTTCATGGGTTCAAGTCCCATGATGGGCTCTGTGCTGACAACTTGGAGCCTGGAGCCTGCTTCAGATTCCCTGACTCCCTCTCTCTGCCTCTCTCCCACTTGTGCTCTCTCTCTCTCTCTCTCCAAAATAATTAATAAAAATTGAGAAAAAATAAAATGTTTTCATTTTATTCTAACATCATATTGTGATGTGTGTAACAGTATTTTTAATAAGTGATATAAGGGCACCTGAGTGGCTCAGTTGGATGGACGTCCAACTTTGACTTAGGTCATGATCTAACACTTCGTGAGTCTGAGCCCCGCACTGGGCTCTGTGCTGATAGCTCAGAGCCTGGAGCTTGCTTCAGATTCTGTGTCTCCCTCTCTGTGTCTCTCCCCGGCTTGTGTACTCTCCCTCTCTCAGAAACAAATAAATAAATAATAAAAAATTAAAAAGTAATATAGATATTTTTTAAATTGGGATACTTAAATCTAGCTCTATCCTCTAAGTATATTACTATTATGGTATTTTTTAATCTGATAATAATAACTCCACTATTAGGGAGTTCAGAAGTAGGAAAAAGGCTTTTCTTTTTTCCTAAAATAAAATTTTGTTTTGCAAAGAAGACCCAAGTTTAAAGTGGGCATGCTGAGCTCACTTTTTTATGAGGATTATGAAATCCTTCATAATCTTCTGTCATTCTACTGTTCACTTGAATGCAATTCAAACTTTCAATTTTCCTCTAAGGATTCGTGAAGTTTTGAAATCAGAAGTGTTATGTTTAAAATATTTCCTGATGAACTTACAAAGTAATTTGGGTTGGTTTTTTTTTTCCCCAAAGTAATTTGTACAAAACTGCAAGAGTGCTGCTATCCCCAATTTTAAAACTCTAAAAAAATCAGTCCCAGAACCTTCAAAATTATATCTGGACCAATAATCAAAGTTAAAATGCTATCCTTTTAGGGAAGAGTAAACTTTCTGTCTTGAGAAAGATTCTGGCAGAAGCTAGATGACCATCTGCCAAAAATGCTGGGATGGGAGTGTCTTCCACTGGAGGGAGACAGAGTGAGCACCACCTAGGGGCCATCCAAATTTAAGAGTCTACAAAGATGGATAATGGAAATAGACTAAATTCAGAAAGACAAAATTCGTTAAAAACAAAAACCATTGACATCTCTCAAAATTTAACCATAAATAGACATGATAATCTCAGGCGCCTAGCTGGCCAGTTGGTAGGGCATGCAGCTCTTGATCTCAAGGTTGTGAGTTCAAGCCCCACATTGGGGAAGGAGGGAGAAAGGGAGGAAGAAAATTAGAAAGACAGGATAATCCAAAATAATCAAATGAAACAGAATCTGGGACCACCTAGGTGGCTCAGTAGGATAAGTGTCCAACTCTTGATTTCAGCTCAGGTCATGAACCCATGGTTTGTAGAATTGAGCTCTGTTTTGGGCTCTGTGCTGACACAGCTGAGCCTGCTTGGGATTCTCTCTGCCTCTCTCTCTCTCTCTCTGCCCCTCCCCTCTCACACTTACTGTCTCTCAAAATAAATTAAAAACTTGAAACCATCTGTAAGTGAATTGGTACACTTTTTCCTGCTTTTTCTTTGAAAAAAAAATTAAGAAAACTTTAATGCCCTCATTTAAAATTTATTTGAGGTGGGGGCACCTGGGTGGCTCAGTCAGTTAAGCATCCAACTCTTGGTTTTGACTCAGGTCATGATCTCTCAGTTAATGGGTTCAAGCCATGCATGGGGCTCTGTGCTGTCTCTGCAGAGCCTACTTAGGATTCTCTCTTTCTCCTTCTCTCTGCACCTCCCCTGCTCACTCATTCACTCCCTTTCAAAATAAATAAACATTTTTTAAAATTATAAGTAAATATTTGAGACTATAATTTATTTAATTATACAGACAGGATTATGTCAGCAATAGATACAACTGCGTTTGGCAAATTCTAAAGGTTTCATTTGTAATACTTGCAGTTTTTTAATAACCTTGATGGTATTCAAAACATTAAAATGTAACCTCCTTGATATACAGTGTATTATACATATTTTTCTAATTTTCAACTATATTTCTTAAGTCTTCAATTTAATTACTATTAATATCAATTAATATTATATAGTAGTTAAAATGTGACAGATAATTTTATAATGAAGCAACTAATAACAGTGTATAAAATATATACTATAAATATATTGATTAACTGACAAATTAGGAAGGAATATCAAAGGCAAAAGACTAAGTGAAAATTGGAAGCCTAAGGGTAAGCAGATCGAAGAAGCCAGATTTCACCTTAAGGGCACTTGCTTCATTAGAACTTGAAGCTTTGCTGTGAGGCCCAGGGAAGAGAAGGCAAGACCAAGATTGGCCAATAAAGAGAATAAAACAGAAGCTTTCCCTTTTGAAATTGCAATCAAGAAAGAACATTATCACTTCAACTCAGGATTATGTTAGAAGTCCTAGCCACAAGGTAATAAAAGAATCGGAAAGGAAGAAACTATCATTATTTGCAGATGGTATGACTTTGTACACAGAACATCAAAAAGAATCCAGAGACAAACTAGCACTTAAAGAGAGCTTAACAAGATAGCTGGTTTCAAAATCAATACAGAGAAATCAATTTTATTCTAGTATGTAACAAAAGTAAACAGTGAGGAAAGAAATTTTTGAAAGATAGCATTTACAGTAACGTTTGCAATGTAAGTATCTAGGAATAAGTTTAACAAAAGATACACAAGAAAATATCAAGCTTTATGAAGGACATTAAAGAAAACTTCATTTTTAATATTTCAATCTCAAAGACTAGAAGACACTGTAAAATAAAGATACAAATTCCTCCCCATATTGGTTCATAGACCCAATGCCATCAATCAAAATCCCCAAAGCTATTTTTATGCAACCTGAAAGTCTGCTCCTGAAATTTATAAAAGAATGCAAAATTTAGGCAATTCACTTTTGAAAGAGAAGATAAGAGGTTTGTTTTGTCAGATATCAAAATACAACATTAAGTTAAAATAATTAAGGCAGCATAGTATTGCCACAATTAAGACAAAAAGACCAATGAAAAGTATTAAGAGCCCAAAACAGAACTCACATGTATGCAAACATAATGTAAAACAGAGGATCTAACAGAGTAATAGGAAAAGAATAAATGTTTTAATAACTGATTCTCCATCGTCCAGCTACCAGTATGTGAATACAAGGAAACTGGATCTCTACCTCACACCATACATAAACACCCAATTAATTACAGATGGATTTAAGATCTAAACATAAAAGGCAAATCTATAAACACTTAGAAGATTATACAGGAGATATGGGGATGGGCATGAAGGAGGGCACTTTGGGGATGAGCACTGAGTGTTATGTAGAAACTAATTTGACAATAAACTATTTGTAAAAAAAAAAAAAAGAAGATTATACAGGAGATATATACCAACAGTGTATACAGGGAAAGGTGCTTGAGTTCATTAATGACTAATGCATAACTTAAAACCACAATGAGATGTCAGTTATCTACCCACCAAAATTAGCAAAAATTAAAAGCCCTGAGAACTCTCACACAGTGCTGCCTGCCAGGATGGTAACAGCATTTTGAAAAGTAATTTAGCATTATCTACTAATGCTGAACATACACATTCCCTCTGAACCAGCAGTTCTACTCCTCGGTATAAACCCATCAGGAACACATACACATTAACAAAAGGCATGTACGTGAATGGCATAGAATCACTGTTTCTTTAACTGATCAATTTCCATTCTTGAAAAATCTAAATAATTACACTAGACATACTTTTCCCTTAGTTTTTAGGTGACCAAATTTTTTTTTTTTTTTTTACCTGTAATGCAGCCTTGTGTCAGCATTTAAGGGCAGAAAAAAGCGAAAGTAGCATTACTTTCTTCAAGTAAAGCAGTAATTGACTATTATTTGAAATCAAGTAAATTAATCTTAGATTTAATAATCTATTACTTTTGTACAACACTGAGCTATGTACACAGGGAAAGATATTAAAAGATATATAATAGTTATTAAATAATTCAGTTTAACCAAATAGTCACAAGTTTCTACAAGTATCATGACCTCTCATTTTAATTAGAAATGACTGGTTCCCATTTTTAATTATCTTTCCATGGTAATATCATTAAAACAAGTTACCCAACCAAAAGTGAGTCTAACTTTAAACAAATCAGAAAGTTAGTCTTACCTGACTATAACTGGAAGGAACTAAGTTAAACATGGTTTGGTAGGAAATCTTTACCTTAATAATGTTTCTCTTTGAATACTAATAACCCATCACCAAAATATTTTCCTTACTTATATTACTTACTTCACTTTAATTTTTTTACACTGACATCTTTTATGTCAGATCTAGTTCACTGGTATTTTAAATTCTAAAGAAACCATAAGAAAAGTTGATTTGACTCAATACCATGGGAACAGATTTCTTAAAGCAATGCTAGAAGGCATATTTGTTTTCTTTTTAGGGGAACAGACGAACACAGTGTGCCCCCACCACAAATTATACAGTCGAGTTTCCCATATTTAGGAAAATGCAAGAGTCAGCACATCTGGAATCAATGGAAAAGCCTTGCCCTAGAAAAACCACCTCTCTGATCATGATATCTCCCCTATCAGGTAAATACTGAAGGCATCTAGTCATATACTTGTATTATTAGATTCAACCTCCAATTTTCTCCTTTCATTTTAGATTACCGCACAAAAATATCACTTACTGTATAAAATATTGAGTTCCAAGTTAGTTGTATTCAAAGTTCTCCACACACAAAAATGAAAATATGTCATACCTAAATTTTCATTTAAATTTTTTTTTTCAAATATTAGTTTAGCTAAGCTTAGGCAAATTAACAAGAAATGCATGTGAAATTCCAGTTATCACATGAGAGCAATCAAGTGTTGCTTTAGGTTAACTACAGCTGTGAAGTCTACAACACCAAACACACACTGATACAAAGATGTTCTCGATCCCCACCCCACCCCACCTCCACCCATCCCCCACTCCACTCATTCTCATTCACAAGCTTTACAGGGATTGGTGATATCCTAACAAATTATAAATACCAGTTTAAATTCTAACTAAGGGCTATTTTTTAGTTAAGGTCCTAAGAGAACGATGTTTTTGCAAACTGGTTTAAGAGCATGGCTTTCAAATATTTTAAAAGAATAATAAAATATATGCCTGACCATCTAAAAATTTTTTTATTTTTCACAAAATTTACGAGGAATTTACCCAATTTAATTACTAAAGCAACTCAAAGGATTTGTTCCAACACGATGGTATCTTGCTGAAGCCAATAAGTGAACAATTGTATAAAATGGAAACTCCTTTAACTTTTCTCTTCAAGTACCTTTTGTTGAATGGTGGAATGTTTTTGCTCCATCTCTCTTTTCTCCTTTGCTGCATCTACAACCAGTCGATCCAACTATAAAGGGAGAAAGAGAGAAAATCATAGAGACTTAAAATTTAAAAAAAAAAAAGGTATGATCATTTTTTAAAAAACATACAATAAGTCAGTCCATTTAAGTTTACTTAAAAAGGCATTATGGCTACAACTTTAAAATGAAACTTGGTTGTTGTTGGTTTTTTTTCTGGTATCAAATCCTTTTAGAGAAGGTCTGTAACTCCTCCAGGAAAAACACTGCTAAGAAAAGTTGTGGTGCCTGGCAAACGTGACAGGCGGCCCTGTCAAGGGCACAACAGGGATAACATGGGTTCCTGGAACACGGAAGAGGACTCTAGTTGAAGTTGCCTGCTGACCCACTCAGCAACTTCGGTCGTCAGAATCAAAGAAAGAAGATGCTGTGGCGATTTGTTTTCCTGAAAGCAAAAAGCAGCAGCTAAGCTAGTGTGGGCCTGCTCTCACAAGTTCACCAAAACAGACACTTCCAATCACTCAAAATGCTTCATGTTTTCAAGTTGGCTTCTTAATGTTATAATCAAATCTAAAAGGCTTAAAAAACAAACAAACAAAAACCTCACCAGATAAAAGAGAAAGCTAAATAATAATTTTTTAAAAAATGATAATAATAAAATAGTAATCATTCATAAGGTTAGGGTATAAAATCACCATTGTTTAACATTCTATTTTAAAAGCCCAAAAAATTTATGAAATCATAAAATCTCATTTCCTTTTTGTTCCTTTCTATCAGAAAAGATGATTTTCCAGTATCATGACAAATGCACTGACTTCTTGAACTACTCTACTGGAATAACAATTGGGTTATAAAATACTATGTGAGTCTACTCTCCTAGAATGTGATGTAGGTCTTTTCATCTTCAACCTCCCATACCTCTAACTGATTGGTGTGGGATAAATGAAAAACTAAAAATGTAAACATCAGCAGGAGTAAGGAGAAAGATAAAGTATTAAATGTCCAAATGGTTTTATTGATATCCTTTAGAAACAAAACTGAAAAAAGCTTTTGTAAAAAAAAAAAACCATCTGATTCTCTATTTACTCTCTATTACACATCATTTTTATTTTCCTGGCAGATAATAATTGTGATCACGGAATCTTTTTTTTTTTTTTTTAAATTAAAAAAGCTTTTTAAAAGTTTCTCTTTAAATCTCAGTTAGTTATAGAGCAGAATATTAGTTTCAGGTGTACAACTGGCCACAGAATTTTTTTTTTTTTAATTTGAGGGAGAGAGAGAGAGAACACGCACAAGCAGGGGAGGGGGAGGAGAGGAAGAGAGAGGGGGAGAAGGGGGAGAGAGAGGAAGGAGGAGAATCTTAAGCATGCTTCACACTCTGCACAAAGCCCAATGCGGGGCCCAACGCGGGGCTCAATCCCACGACCCCGAAATCATGACCTGAGCCGAAATCAAGAGTCAGACATTCAACCGAGTGAGCCACTCAGGCGCCACCACAGAATCTTAATTATCACTGAATACTAATAAAAACTAAAAGAAAACACACTGAAACAGAACTATCACTATTGTAAATATTTGATATACTACTGTACTTAAGGATCTAATGCATACGTGCCTTAATGACATATAACATTGGTTTAATGTGTAATGCTGGTACATGCTTCACTAGTAAAATGCCCTCAATATTTTCTTATACTGAATGAATGAAATAACCATTATACCATGGTTTTATAGACTTTAAGTGATGGCATATAAATATTACTCATTCATTCAGACCCTAAGAATTAACTAATATTTATAAACTTGTGTGCGTGTAACTTCTATAATAGTACTGCAATGCAAGTGACAGTTTCCTGCCTGTCAGATTGGTAGTCAATGCCTCTGCTACAATCCACCCCACTGCTATTACAGCAGACAAGGGGAAAATTCACCTCTCTCTGTTGGGGGAGAAAGATAAAGGAAAAAAAAAATCTTTCCACATGGTGGAGGACTGGGGGAAGTACAAACCGAGGAGATGTGAAGACTGACAGTCCTGTCTCCTACATGTTGGGGCTGTATCAGGAAGAGAGGGTTTGGAGCACAGCACGATGTGTCCTGGGCCTCCAGCGGTGTCGGGCACTAGGGGTTTCACAGGTGCCTATAAGTAGCCCGGTGCCCCCAGTCCTCTGTGTCTGGAATCTCTTCTCCTCCTACCACCTCAGATATCACCACTTCTCTTTCTGCTTTTCAATTTCTTTCATTTCCATCTGCTTGCATATGGGTGCAAATCCTAGTACCTTAAATAAAACCTTCCTCCAACTCATATTCCCCTCTAGCTACCACCTTCTCCCCCCCTTTCCTCACAGCACAACTTTTGGAAAAATCTTCCCCGTACTTCACTTGTCCATTTCATATTCCCACCCACTGTAGTTTAGCTTCTGCCACTCAGATGCTCTACTCTCGCAGAGGTAACAGACAGCCTTCCGGCTGCTGGAAGACCCTGGTTTACTGGGTCTTCCTCCCAGTATCTGTGCTGACAACCACCCCTCCTTGTAGAGCCCCCCTTTCCTTGGCCTGTGCTACCACCGTCTCTGGGTTTCCCACCTCCTCTCATTTACGTTCTCATGGAGCTCTCATACCTATCTCTTAAAAACATGCCATTCTTGGGGCGCCTGGGGGGTTCAGTCAGTTAAGCGTCCAACTTTGGCTCAGGTCATGATCTCACGGTTCATAGGTTCGAGTCCCACACTGGGCTCTGTGCCGGCAGCTCGAAGCCTGGAGCCTGCTTCGCATTCTGCGTTTCCCTCTCTCTCTGCCCCTGCCCTGCTCGCTCTCCATCTCTTTATCTCTCTCAAAAATAAATTAAGAACATAAAAAATAAAATAAACATGTCATTCTTAGGGCCCTGTTTGAAGCCAGATTCTCTTTTCACTCTATACTAGCAGCCTTTGATCTTAATTTACAAAATCAAAACCTTTAAGCATACTATTCTAGCACTTACATTTTTCAAAAATACTTTTTGAAATACAAAAATGATTTTGAGATACCTATTAACTTTCCTTGGGTCAATTCACCCACTACTGTGGCTACAATTAGCAATTATATGCTACTGACTCTTTTAATCTAGGTTTTTTTTTTTTATCAGTTCCAGATAGACTTGCTTAGATGTCCTATCCTCAAAATTCGACACATTTAAACCTCAACTCATCATGTCCCTCTACTTCAAACTGGCTATATCTTAAATATCCCTCAAGTCTATCTATTTCTATCAGTACATGTTCCTCATTCCAGATACAGTTATCTCATAACTGAGTTATAAAAAGAATATCCTAACTGACAACCTCCAACCAGGTTGTATTTTCCACTAGGCACCCTATAGACACCAGAGCTCAGATGCTTTTCAAGAACATGAAAAATCATGTGAGAACTCAGAGGGGGAAATAGCAAAACTGAAACTATTAAATGTCTAAAATATATAATTATTTAACTATTCAACTGCAATCCAACTCATTTTTTATAAAGTATATTTAATGTACGATGAGGGTATGACATAAAACTTGACCGGATGTTGGGAGTGCCTAGTCTAGGAAACTCTTGCCTCTCTCCCAAGTCTGGGTTACAGGTTTTATGTGTATGTTCCTATAACTCTTTCATCCTGTGCTATGTGTAGAGACTGCTAACTGTTCCCCAATAACCGTTCTTTCTTAATACAACCCCCCAAATTCTAGCAGGTTACATGATTATCTGGCATTAAGTGTGTCTCTCCCACCCTTCCGGGCAGCTAGTGTGACGTCAGGATGTACACAGAAGTGATCTCCACGATTTCCAGGAGATAGTCATAAAGAGAAAGAATGCATTTTTCTTTCTCCTCGCCTCTTTCCCATTAGCTAGAATGTAGGTATGGTGACTAAAGCTTGATCAGCCACTTTGAACCATGAGATAGAGTCAAAAATTATAATAAGCCTGCATCCCTACAAATCAAGTGACCACCATACCAGGACTTGACTTGACATAGGAGAAACAATATTCCATCTTGCTGAAACTACTATTATTTTTCAGGTTTCTATCCCATGCAAACAAGCCTCGTCTCAATCTATATACTCAGAGCACTTAGCACAGAGAATAATAACAGTCTGGTGACTTGTTGGCCAACAGATTAAGTCTACAGTCAGGGAACAGTATGGCAACTCATGGCATATGCCCTGCACACACACCATCCCAACACACACACACACACACACACACTATATTTACTTTTGGTCCATGAATGCAA